AAGGTTATTTGTTCATTTTCAGTTTAAGACACCTTTAAACTACTTATGGCTTTTAGCTAATTGAAGATTAAATCAGGAATCACTGACATATATATATATATATATATATATAATTTAAAACAATAGGACTGTACTGAATGAGTCACTTGGAAACATCTACCTATAAAGTTATTCATTGAACATTATTTATAATAGCAAAAAATGTAAACAATTTAAATGATCAACTTGGAGGATTTTTTTAAAGATTTATTTATTTATGCATACAAGAACTGGGGTACAGACCAGAGGTATGGGGAGTGAGAGGATTCACCAGAGACAGGGTGGGGAATAGAACAGGTGGATTGACTGAAATACACTGCTGAGGGGAGCAGCTGGGGAGAAAAGAGAGGTCTGCTGCACCATGTGGGTCAGCTTCCTGGCTGGGGATTGAACTTGTGCTGCAGTGGCTGCAGATAGTTTCATAGTGCTGTGCTTAACTCCTTGCACTACCAGGGAGGCCCTTGGAAGATATTTTTGTTAATAAATGTATCCATGTCTTAAATTGGATTCTTTAGAAGCAGAGCTTTAAATAAGAATTCAAGTGCTTATTGTGCAAGTATTTTGTTAAAGGGGTCTCAGGAAAAATGTGGACGGTTATAAGAGAAGCAGGGCAGGCCAGTACAGTTAGGGGAAGATGGTGACCAGCTGAAATCTCCCCTCCTCTGAGTCCATGGAAATCCCCTGTGCAAAATGAAGCCAGAATTACCCGACCTGGTAGCCAAGAATCAGCATTTTGTAATCTCATATTAGTCAGTCTTTGAGTCACCCCAGGAAGGGGTATAATCCCCCAGGAATTTCAGGGCCAGAGGATTCCCACAACTTGCAGGGAAATTCTCATGAGAAAGTTTCAGCCATATTTAGCTGTTAGCAGGTAAGCTTGGCAGGTATGGGTGTGGATGTGCTGACCAAGTAAAGTGAATCTGGATGTGACCAGTTGCATCTACCAAAATTCATATAAAGGAATTATATTCAGTCACTTAAATATGTATTGTATTTATGAAATGTTTTCATGATATGTCAATAAAATAATGACCCCACTTTGACTACAAATATACCTAATTTTTTTTTAAGATTTATTTTATTTATTTATACAAACACTGGGTACAGTCAGAAGCGCAAGAGAATTCACCAGAGCCAGAATGGGGAGCAGAGCAGGCAGAAGGACTGAAGTACACGGCTGAGGGGAGCAGCGGGCGGCAGGAGAGGTCTGCGCGCCATGTGGGACCCTCCTCCGGTGGCCGGGGAGCAGCCGGGGATCCAACCGGCACTGCAGAGGCTGCGGGCAGCTTTGCAACCCAGCGCTCAACCGCTGCGCCACCGGGGAGGCCTGCAAATATACCTAATATTTATAAATATAAGAGAAAGAAGGCCAGGAAGAAAACGTTCCTAGATTAACATTGTCCCAGACAGTTCCTCATAACAGTAAGTAGGCATCTACCTTTAGACCTAATAATTTCACTCCCATGTATATATATATATACTCCAGAGAAATTAGTGCAGATAGTCACAAAAAGACTTCCCCAAGAATATTCATAGCAGCTTAATCATAATAGTGAGAAGCTGGAAACAGTTCAGATGTATGTCCTTAGAATAATGAATAAATGAACTGTGGTATAGTCCTACAGTAGAATAGCCTTTAGCAATACAAAAGACCAAGCGATGAATACATGTAGAACAAAGAGGAATCTGAAAAACATATCAAGGAAAAGAAGACAGATGTGAAATAATTCAATAGGTACAATTTATAGTCCTTCCCATCAAGAATGGGGAAAACAAATCTATGGTGATAAAAGGTAGAGCAGCATTTACCTGCAAGTTGGGGGTAAATTAGTGAGTGTATTGACAGGAAAGAGGCACATGGAATTTTCTGGAGGTGACAGATTAATCTCTTGACAGAAGCGTCATTATATAACTCTCTATAGATATATATTTAAAGATTTATATATATTGGGGCCTCCCTAGTGGTGCAGAGGTTAAGATGCAACCTATGAAGCTGACCGCAGCCATAGCAGCACGAGTTCAATCCCCGGCCAGGGAGCAACCCACATAGCACAGCAGACCTCTCCTGACTCGCCTGTTGCTCCCCTCAGCAGTGTATTTCAGTCAGTCTGCCTGTTCTGTTCCCCACACTCTCTGGTGGATCCTCTCGCCGCCTACACCTCTGGCCTGTACCCGTTCCTGTGTGTATAAATGGATAAATCTTTAAAAAAATTATATATATTTGTATATATGTTTATCCATATTTAAAGATTTTATTTTTGCATAGAACCAGGGTGCAGGCCAGGGGAGAGGGAGGATTCACCAAAGATAGCGTAGGGAGCAGAAGAGGTGGATTTACTGAAATATACTGCTGAGGGGAGCAGTGGGCAAGACAGGAGAGGTCTGCTGCACGATATGTGGGTTAGCTCGCTGGCTGGGGATTGAACTCAGGACTGAGGTGATAGCACTGAGACTTAACCCTTAGGACACCAGGGAGGCCCTGCATAATTTTATATATGGTATCTCCCACAATTCAAAAGTTTGCTTTATGGCACTTTGCTTTTGCAAATACCTACATCAGTAGGTATTCACTAACTAAAAGAAATCTGGGGATTTTTGCTTTTACCACAAAAGCTAAAAAGCAAAAATAACATTCAGTGTCTGTTTGCAGTGGTATCAGAGGCAGCTCACACCCCAGCAGCCACAGTGGCTCTGCCAATTTCCTTCCCTGAAAACTATTTTAAACAGGTTGCAATGTATCCCATCACTTCTGCTTTTACTATATGTTAGTATAATTTTAGTTTTACATGTTATTTGGCATGATTTGGTAGGCTATTTTCAGCATATGGGAATATTTACATCTTTCCATATAAATTAATTGTAATTGTGTCTATGTTTTAAGCCATTTCAGCTTAGAAAAGTTTTCATGGTAACACTCTACTTGCAGAGGGCAGGGGAAACCTTTATATATGCAAATTTATTTAATTATATATATAAACTTAGTGCATTTCACAACTGATTGTATATAATATTTATAGAATACAATACGACTTATGGCATTAAATGCTATTTCAATAAAATATTGCTAGCATGGGACAAAACTATGGTGTTGCCATCAGATTGTCTTCCTTACTGGTTTCATGGTTAAATGACCCCTCTAAATTTCACAGTCTTTTATTTCTTTAATGGCACCAATCCCAAGAGTAGACAAGAGGATTAAATGAGTTAATGCCTGCTAAGCTCTTAGCACAGTGTTAAGCAGAAGAAAGTAAGAAACTCAAATTGTCCAGTAAATATATTGGAACTTCTAAACTGAATTTAGACTGTCAAAAGGATGTGTAATAGAACATTGAGGTACCATCCTTTATTCCCCTGCCCCCAAAGTTTGCCAGATCGGGTAAGCAGCATGACTCTGTGCAAGGCTGATCACCTTCATTTATGGCATAGGAAGTAGAATGTTATCTCACAGGATTTATGATGGCAAAAGATGAATATGATTCTTGTTTGACCTGCAGAACCCTAAGGAGGCTGGATTCAGTCACACATTCCAGTGGCCACAAAATCCAAATATTCCCACACATTGAGCCTCAATAATGTATAATTCCTATTTTGAAGCAAGGCCAGGATGGTCTACCAAATACTATGGCAACAGGGCTCATAGGTTCTATGACATACTTCTCCATGCAGACAGAAATACAAAGGTACTGAAAAGAGGCATTCATCTTAAATCGGGTCTATCATCCTACATTTCAATTATTTTTCCTCTTCTGGCTATCAATTCCAAATGTCAAAGAAGATAAAATCTTGTGCCATATTGGGAGACCACAAACAATGATCATTTAGTTAAAAAAAACCACAACAATTTTAACTGGAACAGTACTAGGCTCTTACTTCCTCACAGTTCATTAAGACTCTCTCACTGTTACTGTAAATCATAACCACTTTGTCATGTTGTCATTGTTAGGAAAATCTCTGTAAAATTATCCCAGAATTATTAAAGTTGTTTCTCATAAAAATGCATGCTTTTACTAAAATATTCTTCAGTAAGTGATACAAACTGTGATACAAACACACAATAAATTGTTTTTCAGTGTTAAAAAAGAAATGCTTTATTAAGCCATGAAGAAAACTTAAGTGCATATTACTAAGTGAAAAAAAAAACAATTTGAAAGGTTACATACTATATGATTCCAACTATATGACATTTTGGAAAAGGCAAAACTATGGAGACAATAAAAAGATCAGTGGTTTTTGAAAGTTGGGTAGAGTGAGAGAGTGAAGCTACAGGGGATATTTAAGTCAGTGAAACTATTCTATATGATACTATAATGGTATATACATGACTTTTTAAAAAAGATTTATTTATGCATCCAAGAGCTGGGGTACAGGTCAGAGATGTAGTGGGTGAGAGGATTCGCCAGAGACAGAGTGGGGAACAGAAAAGGTGGATTGACTGAAATGCACTGCTGAACTGCTGAGGGGAATAGCGGGTGAGACAGGAGAGGTCTACTGTGCCATGTGGGTCACCTCCCTGGCCGGGGATGGAACTCATGCTGCAGTAGCTGCAGATAGCTTCGTAGTGCTGCGACTTAATCCCTTGTGCCACCAGAGAGGCCCTGATACATGACTTTATGTCAAAGCCCATGGAATTGGACATCACAAATAGTGATTCCTAATGTAAATTATGGACTTCCATTAATAATAGTGTACCAATAATGGTTCACTAATTGTAACAAGTGAACCACACTAACTTGAGCTGTTATAATAGAGGGAACTGTATGTGTGTGTGTGTGTGTGTGTGTGTGTCAGGAGAAAGGGGCTTGTGAAAATTCTTTATTCAACTGTTCCATAAACCTAAAACTGCTCTAAAGTTCTTGAATTTTTAAAAACATGTGTTTCAAAGCACAAATGAAGGTATAACAGTAAAACTGAAAATATCTTGCTAGAGAGGATAAACTGACTTTATCCTTTTTTTCCTGAAGTTAGGTCATTTCTTTCCAGTCTGTGAGTGAAATATGATGATAGGTCATTGCTATTCAAGGATGGAGCTGTATGTACATCATTCCTGTACTGAAGGCGGATGACCCCTAGGGAGATGGTGCAGCTAGCATTCACAGATGGATATTGGTTGCAAGTTACTAGAGAGACCAGGAGCAAATGGGACCTGAGACTCCATCTCAATAAGCTGCAGTTGTTTTGGTGTCCTCAGTCCATGTGCCAGATATGTGAGCTGATAATTCCATCAACATGACTCCAGGCCCAACCACTGTCTATGACTGAATGAGATACCCTCAGTAAAAACTCTCTAGCTGAATTCAGCGGATCCTCAGATCTCTGAGAATACTAATCATAAATGACTGTTGCTGCATGCCACTAGTTGGATGGTGGAAGTGATGGTAGGGCTGCTTGTCTACAGAAATAGGTAACTGCAACAGGTAATAACTATGACAACTACATTTTTACTTTCACTCTGCCCTTTTATCTTCTTTCTGACAGTTGGGGCTTTTAATATTTGGTTGGACTATTTAATAGATTTAAAATTTTGTCATTTTACCTGTCAGAAACAGCTTTTGGCCTAAAGATTTTGTCTTTGCACTATGGATCTGTTGCACATATTTGGGTCTTTTGAAAAATATACTTCTTCAAAAACTCATATTAAACTATGATCTTTTAGAAGTCAGCTGTACAAAAGTCTACGGGGAAAACATTCCCTGAAAATGATCTTTTATTTCCAAAGTTTTTCATGACATCTTTACAAAAGAATTAAAAAATACACAATAGGATAAAATTAAGGCATATCATTATAATTTTAAGTACAAAAGGTTGTTTTTTATTGTTTAATGTTAATCACTTAAATGTTAATCTATTTTTTCTGCTTAATTAGTGTTAAAAATCGAACTTGCCTCTACATATTCTGTTGAGCATATTCTTTTAGAGCTGCTCTGTTACTTATTCTATTCAGACATGATACAATTCATTTCTTAAAATTAAAAATAGCTTCCAAATGCCACTATCATTTTCTAACTTTTATAGCCACTTAATCAAATGGTAATTATGTTCACCTTATAATTTTTATATTTATTCATTAATTGTAGAACCATAAAATTTTTATTTAAGCATGTAGCTACACAAATAAGAGATAACTTCTTTTTTAATACTGTTACATAATAAATACTTTTTGTCAATTTTATGTTATATAATATGGAATATCATTTCGCTAATCAAATTTTAATTCATTATCATTTTGGGGATACTTAGAGATCAGTGAACATCCTCTCATCTTCTATTTCCCAAATAAATGTGAAGAATTAAAAAATATATAGTTTAATGCCACAATCATGCTACATCACCAACTCTCTAAAATTTTGTGACACATTGCAATTAGCATGTTTCTCAATAATGCATCTGAGGGTCAGCTGGAGTAGCTATGTTCCATGTGACTCTTCTGGGATCATGTGTCCCATTCTGTTCTTCTCCTAAGAATGACAGAGAATAAAAAGTCTCCAAGTGTAAGCATATTTTAAGCCTCTACTCATTAACATTCTAACATCCCATTGGCCAAAGCGAGGTACATGGGCCAAGGGCATGAGGCCATGTCAATCACATAGATGTCCAAATTCTACTACAAGGGAGTGAAGCATTAGGACCAGTCAATCCATCATAAATGGTAAATGAGGACAAGTTTGCTCCATGGAAACCTGAATTCTATACCTGGTCTACCAGACCACATGTTTCTAGCCCAACCCTGAAGTCCAGCCCAGTCAGCACTTTGTGCTATTTCTTGTTGAGGTCTACTTCCAAAGGTCAAACTTCTTCCTTGTCCAAGTTCAATTTCACAATGCAATAATAGTTTGATTGTTAAGCTATGATCCTCAAATATTCCAAAAAAATAACCTAATATGAACTTTTCCCAGAACAATACAATGGAATACATAAAAGATGTACAAAAAAACATCATTTTGGAAAAACAGATGCTACTGCCACCTTTTACTGACAGCTTAATCTATAAGAAGCATCAGACTGAGTACTTTACAGAATTATTTCACAAGATGAAAAGTGGTTACTCTAAAACTTGATTATCCATCTCATGAATGGGGGTTTTGAGTGGCCAAGTTTTATACCAAATATTAAATCCTAATTGAATATAGGAAACATAATTTGACTGTACAGTATCTATTCAATTAATAGAATTAATTGTCAAGACTCTTTTTATTTCCAATGACTTTATATTTTAGTATAGAGACAAAGGTAGGAAAAAATATGATAGTGATTTATTGAAATTGTAGATTAGTCCATGCTATGTCCAGAACACCACTGTTTTCTCTACTTTCAGCTGATCTTTTGTTTAGTAAACCATACCAGATCCTTCCAAAAGTTAACTTTTTGCTTAAGTTTCTGAGCCAGTTTTTCTTGCTTTCCACCAAAAACATAATGAATGAGTTAGCTAGGGTCACATTGGTTGTCACCACTTACTAAATAACTAAGGTCCTTGAGGGTGGAAAAATGTTCTTCATCTACATATACACAATGTCTACGAAATTCCTAAAACATAACATGATATAGACAAAACGTTTACGTGCCTTCCAAATTCATGTGTTGAAACCTAATCCTCAATGTAATAGTATTTGGTGGTGGGGCCTTTGGAAGGTACTTAAATTGAGGGTGGAAGCTTCATGAATGAATTAGTGCACTGATTACAGAGACCCCAGAGGAATATCTCCCCATTTCCACCATGCAAGAACACATTAAAAAAAACAGTTGTCTCTGAGCCAGAAGTAGCCTATCACAAGACACTGCATCTGTTGGCTCCATGATCTTAGACTTCGCAGATCCCAGAACTGTGAAAATAAATTCCTTTATTTTTAAGTCCTGTTATTTTTAATGGCCTTAAAGGACTAAGGTAATACATAACTTATTTTTTTCCAGATTTCTGTGCAGAACTATGGCTTCTCTTATTTCAATATAGCACATCCATCCATCCCTCTGCTTCAAGTTCCCTGAATTCAGCAAATCTTAATCTGACAAAATCAGGAGCTCAGACTATTTTTCAGCAAATATTAATAATCACAATTTTTGTGTGAAGGTTTATGTTGAATTTAGGGCCTTATATTAATAAAATACCTCCCAACTACTTACCAAGTGATTTGCCCCAAATGAAAGATACATATCAAAGTTCTCTTAGCTTGGGATGGAAATCTATATAGAATGGCAAATGTTCCCTGTTATACCATAGGCAAAGAAAATGGAGATGTCTTAAATATAAGTTAGTTTCAGAGACTATGAAGATTATTCTAAAACTAACCTGCATAATTCCATTAAGATCTGGAACAAGACAAGGATGTCCACTCTCACCACTGCTTTTCAATATAATACTGGAAGTCCTAGCCAGAGCAGTAAGACAAGAGAAAGACATCCAAGGAATCCAAATAGGAAAAGAAGAAGTCAAACTATCACTCTTTGCAGATGATATGATAATATACATAGAGAACCCCAAAAAGTCCACAGAAAAACTAATTCAACTCATCAATCAGTTCAGTAAAGTGGCAGGATACAAAATCAACACGCAAAAGTCAGTAGCCTTCCTATACACAAACAATAAATCTGAAGAAGAAGAAATCAAAAAAACCATCCCTTTTTTATTGAAACAAAAAAAATCAAATATTTGGGAATAAATCTAACAAAAGAGGTAAAGGACCTATACAAAGAAAACTATAAAACACTGTTAAAAGAAATAGAAGAAGATACAAAGAAATGGAAAGACATCCCCTGCTCATGGATTGGAAGAATAAACATTATTAAAATGGCCATCCTTCCAAAAGCAATATACAGATTCAATGCTATTCCAATCAAAATTGCAATGTCATTCTTCAAAGAAATAGAACAATTATTGATGAAATTCATATGGAATCACAAAAAAACCCCGAATAGCCAAAGCTCTCCTGAAAAAAAAAAAGAAGGGAATGGAGGCATCAGACTCCCAGACTTCAAACTAGACTACAAAGCCATAATCATCAAAACTGCATGGTATTGGCACAAGAACAGACATACAGACCAATGGAATCAAATAGAAAATCCAGAAATAAACCCACAGATTTATGGTCAACTAATCTTTGACAAAGGAGCAAAGACTATGCATTGGAGCAAAGAAAGTTTGTTCAATAAACGGTGCTGGGAAAACTGGGTCGCTACATGCAAAAGAATGAAGCTTGACCACTACCTCACACCATACACAAAAAATCAACTCAAAATGGATTAAAGAACTAGACATAAGACCTGAAACCATAAAATATATGGAAGGAAACATAGGCGAAACACTACGTGATTTGCACATCAAAGACATCTTTACAGACATATCACCCAAAGCAGTGATAGTGAAGGCAAAGATAAATAGCTGGGACTACATCAAATTAAAGAGCTTCTGCACAGCAAAAGAGACAATAACAAAAACAAAGAGAAACCCCACCAACTGGGAGAACAATTTTGCACCCAACACTAATGATAAAGGACTGATCACAAAAATCTGCAAAGAGCTGATGAGACTCAACAACAACAAAGAAAATAATCCAGTCAAAAAATGGGCAGAAGAGCTAAAAAGAAACTTCTCTGAAGAGGAAATGCAAATGGCCAACAGGCATATGAAAAAATGTTCAACATCACTTGTCATCTGTCATCAGGGAAATGCAAATCAAAACTACCATGAGATACCATCTTACACCAGTGAGAATGGCACATATTAAAAAAACTAGCAACAACAAATGTTGGTGAGGGTGTGGAGAAAAAGGAACTCTTCTGCACTGTTGGTGGGAGTGCAAACTGGTCCAACCACTGTGGAGAGCTGTGTGGAGATTTCTGGACCTACTAAACATAGAGCTTCCATATGATCCAGCAATTCCACTCCTAGGTATTTACCCAAAGGACACAGAAACATCAATTCCAAAGAACACCTGCACCCCTATGTTTATAGCAGCACTGTTCACAATAGCTAAGCTTTGGAAACAACCCAAATGCCCAAAAATAGATGACTGGATCAAGAAGAGGTGGTACATATATACCATGGAATATTACTCAGCATTCAAAAAAGATAAACACATGCAATTTGCAGCAACATGGATGGCGCTGGAAGGGATCATGCTCAGCGAAATAAGCCAAAAAGAAAAAGAAAAATACCGGATGGTCTCACTCATAGC